TAGCAATATACCAAAACAATTTTTTTGGCTTTTATAGTATATAGCTCGCAATCACTGATCTTTATTTGTGTTTATCTGATGCAATAAACTTTACATAATTAATATACAGACTTTTGACCCTTACAACAGTAAGTAGCCTATAGATATTATCTGACATTCTTAACTGTAAATGTAACGAAGAACAATACGTAATCAGTACAAAATTTGGGATCAAAGTGATATTAAGTAATAAATTCGGTGCGGCGAACGCTCTAAACGCTTTCGAATTACCAAGCGTCGTAATGGGCAAACTTAATATTCAGGAAGGGACCGCCCGCCCTGGCCGCGTTCATGCGGGCACGCGGATACGCAAGCCAGCTTCGCTACATTTTATCCTTCTGTCACAAACTGTTTCCGTTTTTAACTATTAGCGTTGTAATCCCAAATGACATGATTTATGAGAAACAAGTTCTAAATTGTTTCTCTTCAAAATACTTTATGCTGATATTTTAATACTCAAACCAAGGGGGAAAGGATTGTTAGTAATGGGGACTAATGCCCTCATTCCTAACAAGCCCTGTCAGGTCGACCCACACGCGGTTCCCCCTGGAAACCATCGTGAACAATTTTTGTTGAATTCGTCACAGTGGGCTATCTGACCTACTTCATCCTCACCTATCAACTCTCACTGGCGCCCCGCCAATGTATACCGATAATGCGTTCGGGGTTACCATTCCATTATAAACCATTAAAAAATATACTCAAACCACTGAGGCCCAATATATGTAATTTTGACTAAGGTTTAAGTTATATTTCCAACGTCTATTGTACTGTCACGCATAACATTTCTTTCTTCTTTATTTCTTGTCTCTTTAACTGATGTGTATACAGTTTTTGCAGTAATAATATTATAAATGAAGTAAATAGAGGACCACCATGTTTTATATCTTTTTTAACTAATTTATTCATATAGAACATCTTTTTTTAGATATGATAGTACAGCAATGTGGCTTTTATTTATCTACATTCCCTTTTTCTAGATATGCCAAATTAAAAAAAACTTAAAAGATTTTAAAAAGTTTGTCTCGTCGAACATCATTATAAATATTGTACTTGTAAACAAATTCCCTTATATAATAATCCGATAAGCAAGATGAAAAGATATTCTCTACAATTAACATTAAATGTTTTAGCTGAGTTAAATTTCTAAGTAAGATTGAATTTATGAGATCTAGATACCGGTTAATGATTTTGTACAGATTCAAATATTAATTGATGTCTGAGTCTTTAATACTTAAATAGAAACAAAGAGTTATATGACGATAAATGCGTAAATTTTCCTATTTTAAGAATATCGCTGTGGCAAATTGATATTATTTAAATTCCTGAACTCTTAACAATGCCCGGGGTTTGACTCATGTGGTGTCATATTTTTCCAATAACTTGAAATTTTCGAAATTTTTTTTATAGCAAATGCTTATGTTATAAAATAATGCAAAGAATATTCTTTTAAGACATTTTACAAACTATATATGCATTGAACAATATAAATAAATTTATGTTTCTAATTTCAGATTTCTGCTTAGTAGTTTTGATAGTGCTAATATCAAACAAACACTTTTATAAGCATAGATGACTTCCATCGTAAATATCTATGAATTATTAAAATTTTCTTATTTACGTGCAGAAAGATTGTAATGATGATCATTTAATTTTTTCCATATAAAATTATAATCCAAAATTTAATAAATTACAAATACAAGAATCGTTCTTTGTGGTGTAGATAAGCTATAAGAACATAGATTATTATATACTAATGATCTGGCCTAACTTCGCACGGGAGATAGATTTTTTTAAAATAATATATAGCCTATATTACTCGCTAATAATATAGCATTCTATAGGTGAAAAAAGTTTTAAAATTAGTTAGGTAGCTTTTTAATTTATCCATTACAAAGCAATAATCAAATCTTTTTTTTTTATAATGTTAGCATAGATTAGCTAACTAGTTATATCCCGTGGCATTTTCTACATGAATTATTATAGAAGCTATCTATGTATATAAATTAAAGATATGGTCTATCTGTAAATCAAATTCGTATACCCATTTGAGCTTGTATTTGTGACAAAAATCCAAAATACTTTGCAAACTTTCACATTTATAATATGAGTATAATATTCTCTGTTATACTTAAGATGAACGAAATTTAACATGCCTACATTTCGCCGAATATATGAAAACACAACTTAGCAAAGGGCGAACTTACCGTCATCATTCGGATTAATTGGATTTTTTAATCGTCGGATAGTCAAATATATTTAAATTCATAGTGTTTTAAAGTTATAAATCGTGGTAATACATCACCGGGTCAAATAAAATCGGTCAATAATATTAAATTAAAAAGTATTAAAATAAAAAGTGAAATCAATCAAATCATCTTAAAATTTATAATAAATGCAATTCCTCTCTAAATTTTGTGAAGAATTGATAAAATACCACTATCTAACAATAAAACAGAATACCGTAACCAGTGCTACGCCATGCGCCACTACGTACAGCTACGATCATCAAACGAACGATATTTCCATTGCATTCGTATTATTCGCCTATAGAACCATTCTCTTTTCCAATTCTCCGCTATTTTACATTATTTCCCTTTTCTGACTAACGAATCGAATGGTTTGTCGTATTTCTGTTGTTCGATCAATCAATACGAGGCATTGTATGCTAAGTAAATAGTAATGCACAGGTAATAATATAAGTAGGTACTATATGGAGTAATACTTTTTCATTTTAATTATATGACTACTAGGATTCGTTTGTTACTTCTTAATTGAATAATAAATTATCAAAATTAAGAAATGAATAGTTTATTATTGTCAGTACATTTTCGAAAGGTCCTATATTCAATTATTATAACAATATACATTTAAACAATTATTTTATTCATTTTTATATTTTATTTAACTGTTATTAAAACTTTCATATTACGAAAATCATACGATGGAAAATAATGAAATATATTGTCTACAAAAAAAAATATTTTTAATGCTTTAAAATTAAAGTCATAAAAAAAAACATTAAACAAAAACTTTCTAAAAAATGTGTAAGGTGCACATGCTACCTACTTAATATATCAATGAAATATACAGGTCGCTTTCGCATCTGCGTCTCCGTTTAATTTCGCACAAGTTCACAATATTAATGTTAATTATTAATTACAACGCAAACAATTATCCCACCCCTTAATTTGGAGACCACGAGGCGGCAGTCTCAAATTATTGCGCTAAATACGCGGCCCAATTTATCTTGAATCTCGTCAGGATCGGAGAATTTAAATTTAAATGTAAATGTTGTTGGAGGGCGCCCTCTCTAATTGCGATTTGCGTCCGTCCGTTGTCAAACTTGTCCTATTTGAAGTCCGATGCGGGATTTGCACATCACAGTACATTTCCGTGTTTTTTTTTTTTTTATAATATAGGTAGCAAAATGTTATAAGTATCTTTTATAATTGACTTCAGTTTTGTTTGTGTTATTTTTTAAACTACATAAGTATGTCCGTTAAACATATCTTTTACATCTTTATTTACATAAAGAACCTTTACAGGTACTTGGCGTTTTTTACCACACACAACTTTAGAATACATACAACTAAATATAATAATAGTAATTTGTGACATCATCAAACCACTGCGCTCTAGAGCATCTGGAAAGTGTAATTTTGTATAAGAATTTCGGAAATTTCCACGGTAAACTATACATGTGAAAATATCGCGTATTTCCATTAAGTATATTAATAACTGATATGCGTATACTTTGCATTCATGAAGAAGAGATATAGCATCTGCTTCTACCTGCTTTTAATTTATTTAAATAAGAGGAGGTTGAGAACCTTCCTCTTTATCAAGCGTATTTTTTTATATTGTTTTCTCAGAACTCTATCATTTGTAAACTAATTTTAAAAATCTTTTTTTGTTTGATTTTTTTGTTGATTCTTTGAATTCGTGTAGTAGAATTTAATCTAAATCGACACAATAATTTGATTTTTAAATCGAAATAAATGATTTTGTCACGACTGAAGTGCTATTTTTTTTAAGTCAAGTAAAGTGCACTCAATAATGATTACTGAAATAACGCGTATACGCAGCAATATCCAAATGTGTCTCATATGTTTAACATGTATTTTATAACTCAATTTCATAATGAACAATATTACATAAATAAGTGGGTTCAAGATGTAACTGTCTCTGTTTTCTTTTCCAAAAGACAATTGTATCTAACTCCCCGTACTAGTTATAAAGCTTACTTCTAGTTAAAATTCGTTGCAAACTTCGAAGCGAAGCAATCCAAGCGGCAAATCTGCTTAATTGCTACCGGAACTCTGTGGACCCTTGTAACTGACACTGCAGAATTTGGATCATCTTATATTCAAGGTAAATATACCTATATAGAGAGAAGAATCTAAAACTGAGCCTATAGATACAGGTTTCATTTTCGACTAATTTATTTATTAATTTGTATGTACACCAACACATAAAGCATACGTTCAACATTTTTAATCTTATTAACAAAGGGTAAAGTCGACAGCGAAAATTTCTATTTTTGTTTTGTTTTTTAACCACTTACCGTATATTTTTTTATGAACTGTCAAAATGAAATGGGCCAAAAATATGGCCATTTTCTAGTATCTACAAAAGGTATAGTGTACTGAAGCTCTTAATGAATCTGAATAACAGTTTCAGCTAAAGCAAATTTATTTTATTATAAATTAAACGTATTCTGTATTTTCAATTTCCCTATCGAAACTCACAAGAGTAATTTACAGTTCGTTAAAAATAATCTAATATTCAAAACTCCAATTCTTGTATACGAAGTATTTAAAAAAAAAACTTTTAACGAACCCCCTAAATTGAATCAGAACGCCTCTAGGTATCTAATTAAAAAGTCTACCAGATTATTTGGTTCATTTATCATTCTTCCCTCTTACCTCTAGTTATATGAATTAGGTATATATACTTACTTATTTCAGTCATTCCAAATTTCAGCAAACCATAGTTTTCCATTCAAGTTTGACGTTAATTATTAACGAACTTTTGCTACTTCACTTATAACTCAGTGGCCGCAATAATAGCCGTCACGTTTCATTTATTTTTTCATAAATATTCCCACCCGCGTTTTTGCTCAATGAACTATGTAAGCAGGCTTGACATTTCCCGATCGTACTTCGATTAAGCTCACGTAACGCGGCTCACCCTCGCGACGTTCAGACCCAAACTGCCTGCTTTTCCAGTAAGCAACACATGATTTTCTGAAACAACCCCCTCGCATATCTCGGTCGAGAGTGCAAAACCTTCACACAGTGACACAGGGCGCAACATAATAGCAGTTCGTTAGCATAACTCAACTTGAGGCATCCGGTTTACCGTAAGTAAATAATTGGGGTTATTAAATATTTTCTGTCATTTACATGAAATATGAGATATTAAAATCTTTTGTTTATGGACATAGGAATGCGATATTCTATAATAAGTATACGCAATGTATTTAATCTTAAAACAGGAAAGGTATGTCTTTTGTAAATATTACCAACATATTCATATATAACGTGTACTAAAACACCTTTTCATGTTCATAACTTTCATTAAAAATTGCCTATATTATTTAAATTGTAACCCACGTAGTTAGTTTTATCTATTTTATATATACCTATGAATATAATCCCAGACGGGGTGGTCCAAATCTCATTCCAAGATTCTATAGAAACTATTTTAAGCTGACCTAGTTTCTTTTAAAGATCTCCCAAGTTAAATTTTTAATGATATTTCAACTACTTTTAAAGCCAGTTGAATAATAATATTCAACGTAATCGTATAATTAAGTAAATTTTGAAATTATGAGGTAGTTTTAAGTAAGAACCTTAACGGAGTGGTAAAAACAACTTTTTAATTAACATCTTTTCCAAAGCAAGCATTTTTTACAATGTAGTAGGTCTGTGGAATCGCTAATTATAAAACCAGGGAATCGTATGCCCCATATTCCATAGACCTAATAATCTACCTTTATATTGCATTAATGGTTCACACAATAAAAACTTCCTCTTTGTAAGCGAATGAACAACTTGCAATTTATTCTCATCTTGTTAAAGTTCCAAGAAAAATTTAAATTGGCACTGTAATATTTTTTAATATAAATTTTTGTAGAGTGTAACGACAATTTTAGTTAAAACTAGCTATTCAAAGTATCCTATGCGTTAAATTAGGATATAACTTACCGATGTACTAAATTCATTTTGTTCAGTAGTTTTTGCGTCAAAGAGTGACAAACATCTATCCATAATAGAAGTAGAACTAGCTGTTCGCCCCAACCACGCAAGGATGGATATACTATTTTTTTTTTACTTTTCCGTACTATTTTTTTAACATTTTCTTTCATACAAACCCTATCCTAACAAAAATGTAGCCATTCTGAAGTGATAGGCTTAGGTACATACGGTCGACAATTGATCTTTATTTAGATAGATACATATTATGATATTTTGAAAAAACTTACTTTTAATCGTGACTTAATTAATGTCAAACTAACACAAGAATAAACATTACTGATTACAAAAAAAATCATGCAACATGAAGTTAAACGATCACATATACAGACCACTTGACAGAAAGTGGGAACCGTCACCTATAAACATGAACAGCATTATGGACATCTAGAGAACTATTCATATATATAAACATGAAAATTATTAAAGATGTTTGAGTGTTTGTTACTCAATCACTCTTAAACGGTAAAACCGATTTGATTGGATTTGATACATAGATAGTTTATAAATTTACATACGAGTATGATATTTTATATAATGAATCACGCCGGCGAAATCGTGAGAAAGAGATTTTATAGAGTAATTACACAAGCTTTACATCTTCAGAACACACTGAGTAAATAAATTTACTAATTTGTATTTGGAATTATAGAATGTATTCAAATCACGCGGTAGATAGTACCACGGCTAAGTAAATTGTGTACGTGCTTGGCCCAGAGCCGAATGGGTCGACCACAAACTATGCATACCACAGTATAACCTCTCCTACAGCTAACATTATACAAATGCTAAATGAATTTTTCATGATGGTATGAAAAACTATTATCCTACACCTAATTCGAAAAATACACATATTTGTTCACAAGAGCGAATTAATTTTTGTCTTTTCATTAAAGAACATCGCAACTTGTGATTCCCAGTAGTAGAAAAACGAGGAAATCGACCTGACCCTACATTGCCAGTATGGGTCGCTAATCTCCATTACTAAAAATCTCTTTTCCCGATTCCCAACAGTATATTATAATTCTGTATCTCCGACTTTTCCTAGAAATTATAAAATAAATTAAATTATAAAACTATAAATTAGAGTATAAAATATCAATATCAACATCAACAAAGTAAACAAAATAACTAATAACAGGAAGCATTGTATTTAAAATAGGAGGCTCAAAATGTTTTGTTGTTTTTTAATTCTAATTATTAAATATATTTAGTTTCAATAAATTTCACTGGTGAAGTAATAAACCCTATATAGTAATAGCTATACAATACAGTGATTCTTCATAACCAGCCCCTAGGAATTATATAAGTATCAAGGTCGAATAGAATACTTAAGCTTATACGAAACAAATAACAGAATGATACATCAAAATTATCTCGCAACTTTTACTACATACCCGGGGCGAACTTGTACGAGGTGTACATGAACATGACAAAAGTTCAGTAAAGTTTAGCACCAAATAGGTAGCTGTACGCTAACGAGCGCAGTTTACTAAACTGTAGTTTCCTTTATGACTCACTGTCAGCAGCCTTCTTGCGACAGTGAGCCTTCGCAAATAAGAGTTGTCTACCTCTTATGGTATTTACATCTCGTTTTGAAGTTTATAGAGCAACTTATGGTCATTGTAACAAAACTATCGATATATGTGTTATAAGTATTTGACGTTTATATCTATTAAAAATTATAATAGAAACTAAATAGTTTAATTTATTTGCAGCGGCACGAAAACATCACTACACTATTTATTTCATTCAGAATTAATTGACCTCTTCATTTTATTTATTTCATAAACACTAAAAATACTCAATAAAACACTAAAAATAACAATAAAAACTATATAAAGGGGCACCCCTTTGTATAGTTTTTATTTATGCAATCCTAAAACTTATTTGTTGCAAAAGAGCCTCTTAGTAAAAAAAAAGTCCGATTGGGTTTCAAAATATTATAAATATAGTTAAACTTGTTTTTACAAACAGATTTTTAAAATTGTTGTTAATGGATCATTGAACTTAATCTTAACATATTTAAAGCAAAAAAATATAAGTTAATTTCTTATAAAATGATATTTATTTTATAATAAACTGACATACCATAAATAACCAAGCCCATAAAAAATTTTATTAAAATAAATGAATTTATTTTCATTTAAGCAAAAACCATCAAAATTCAATCTAATGTTTGAAGTAATCAAATCAGTTTACTGCTTCTTCATATAAAATTAAAAATATCGAATCTTAACTAAAAAAATATTTCAGTAATTCTATTGATATAATAGAAGAAAACTCATTAATGAAAACACTCAGAATGAGTGCTCGAGTGACGTTATTAACGCAGACAATAATGGTTGCAAAGCTTTGGGTATGAAAATAAAGTTTTCAGTTTTGTCGTGGCGATGTTCCATTTTATTATAAGAAAACGCGGAGAGACAACGTTTCTCTTTATTGCGAGACATTTCATCAAGATTATATTTTTCTTTCGAACAATGTCCCTTGATGTCCCAGCACTTCAATGAACGCTATCAATTCTAAAGACAAGAAGACACGACATCGCAGCGGACTGAAATCTTTAATATATTTTCTTCTTTAATGGATTCATTTATTTATATATTCAATTTAAAGTGCCACAATTGCCACCTAAATTACAAATATTAAGTGCATTTTATAAACAAGTAGATTTAATTAAATAATACACTAAAACACATAACCATCGGGCATATTTTATTTATATAATTTAATATGGATAATATAAATATTATTGCAATAATATTAGTTTACATTGTAGTTATATCAGTCGTTAACTGTCTGTTGCTGAACATAGGTTTTCCCTATAAGGGGAGTTTTATCAGTAGTTGCCACACTCGGCAAGCGGGTTGACGATCGGTTTGGTGATGTTTTAAGAGGGACGCTGCTGCCCATTCCTCGACCATTGACTTCTCTTAGTCGCATCTTACGATACCCAAGGAAAAGGAAGGGGTAGCCCATTTTATGCCAAGACTACAAGGGGGGGATTTTTAATAATGCGGACTACCAATCTCATTGCTAGCAATATACCCTGTTAGGTTGACCTCCATGTGGTCCCTTCTAGAAACCATCGTGCTGAATCCCAGGTGTAATAATCACGACGGACTAACTGACCTGCGTTTTCATTCTCACCTGTCATGCCTCACTGGTGCTCCGCCAGTGTTATATTATAGTATTAGCGCGAGCAAGGTTGCCATTCTATTATCATCCTTTGTATATATTATTATTTATAATATCAACAATATCAGAAGTTCACTTTGTAATCACGTATAATTGTGTGTTTTGGTATCTTTGCGGGAAAGTAAGAGGTGACCCATTCTATGCCGTGTGGACCCGGCATAGAATGATCTGTGTGTATGTGTGTGTATTAATCAAGGTGAAATAGTTTATTGAACTACTATACAATATCTTCTATCATATTATTATAGCATACTATACGATGCATTTATATGTGTATATTTATAATACTATCTACTTAAATTTATTATTTCAATAATTTGTTTAGCAAATATACTTAATGAATTAAAAGGCCACTGAAAGCTCTACTTCACAAGCTGTGTGGAAGCTATAAACAACGAAAACAAGTTTTAGACAAGTTTGAATATATTGTGGGTACGATTTTGTCAACAGGAAAATGGCGGACCCCGCTGTCGCTTTTGGATATTTATGACTGCGACTCCACTAATTTTTGCATCCTTTCGTGCCAGCGCCGGACTAACAGATACTGAAGTTTAAATATTATATATATATATATATATATATATATATATATATATATATATATATATATATATATATATATATATATATATTATATTATCTTATCTTTATGTAAGTAAAATTAAGTTATACTTATATTTATACGAGAAAAAATTCATAAATCAATATTAGCTTAACGTTTAGAGTAAACTTCTTAAGGTAAG